GCTAAGGTCAGCAAGGGAAATATTTCATAAGTGTCAGCTTGGCCCGTAGCCCTCGACGCAGAGTTGGAAATGAGAATGCGCGGTCGCATAACAAACGGCCGTGTGTGACTTTGTGAGCCTCACATGGAGAGGGGGGTTGGGAGGGTGCATGATATATGGCAGTGCTTCACTTTCATGTATTCATCTGAGCCGGTGAATTACTGCCAGGGACAAGCAGGGTGCTTTGTCACCACAAGGACCCAGTTGAGAGAAATATTTTGGCCACGCGAGCTCTGTGTCTGGATTGTGTTTTCCATCACTGCCTGTTCTGAAACTCCTGCTTTTTTAATTAAAAGGAGAAATCATAAAAGTAATTCCCAAAGTTCTGCTTTACAAGTTAGATTCAATAACAAACCTGAAATCCCAAAACACGTAACCACAATTCAAGAAGAATTTGACATAACTCCCACAACAGAAAAATTATCACAGCTAAAATAGCAATAACATTTCAAAGTTCAATATGTATGTTACCCTGTTCCAAAGAAAATCCCTAGCCTGACTTTTATAAGCCTCTCTCATATTAAAAGACTTGATGTGCAAGAACAAAAAAACAATATTCACTCAAGGTTCATTGAATGGTCATTCTCCATAGAGCACCATGTTAAATGATGAAGTTAACAGCAAACATGTGTACAGCATGGTACAGAAATGGTTTGAGTCTCCATAGCTACATTTCTCATTCACAACTATTGTGTAGTGTAAACATTTGATAAAACTCACCTGTATTCATCTGAGCCAAACAAATGTGTTTTCCATTAATGCTTAAAACTCTTGTTTTTATTTAATTTAAGGGGAATACATTAAAGTAGTTCCCAAACCTTTGCTTTACCAAGTTTAGCTCAATTCAATTCTGCATGTGTTGTTTTCCATTATGTCTTAAAACTGGTTGTATAAATTGACTTTGTCATTTTCCCTGAGTTTAATTCTCTCTCTGTTGAAGGTTTTTCTGCTCCTGCGGTGACCCAGGGTTGGCAAGCACATGCAGAGAGATTAATGGTATGGGCGGGCCGCTTCAATAACCGTTTGTTTGATGTGTCAAGGCTGAAAGGCGCTGATTTACTTACACATTGATAGGCTTTTAATTGAGCTATGCCATCCCTTGTCACATCAAAGCCGTGGCAGCTGACATGACTGGGCCTCACTGCGGGTGGCGATGATTGACGTGCACCCAGAGCCCCGCCCGTCCTTCAGCGTCATCCTCCGATATGGTTGGCAGGAAGTTTGCGGCTACTGCAACCTCCAGTGACTTCTGTTGATCATCAGCTCATGAATGTCAAACTTTCATTTAAATAGGCTAGCGGGGCTGTGTTTGAGACGTTACATTGATACGATAACACTTAACTGTCAGATCAAAGATATTACACATTGCAATGACTCAAGACAATGTGTTCAAGAGCCTTCCACATGCATTAAACCCTCACACTTTAGGATTGACTGGTGCACAAAAGAGTGCTTCAGTCTAACCATAGTAAATCGTGGGAGCCTGTTTCGACATTGGGCGAATTTTCTTTGACAAAACTTGATTATTCTGATGAGAAATGAATTTCGAAGACAGCATGTACGTTCCCAGCCGCAACAAAGGTTGGTGATGAAGACACAGACGGTGGCCATGGGTGCAGGAAGAAGCATTGACTTTAACAAGCGTGAGGAATGTGCTGGGAAGATTTTCTTTGCACGGCCTGTTGTCTTCCATTTCACCAGACCTGTCACGGCTGAAGCTTGTGAATACCTTGATTGTGCTTCTATCCAAATGACCCCCCCTTCGTCATGAGGAAAAGAAAAAATACATCTTTTGATGTCATCTGAAATTTCACACAACAATGTAGGACGATCTGATTTGAGGCAGACGCTGTCTGGCAGCTCAGGCCCGTCCTCCCTCCTCTCTCCATGCTCCTGATAACTTCTCCGTGTGGAGGACAAAAGCGGCTTTTGTTTCCGAGTGTAGAGTGAGAACTCAAGGTTGCACGGGTGTGGGCGTTGTGCAGCCTACGTGCTTGTCTGCGAATGCGTTTCAGGTGTAGCAGGCACGACAAGGTGGAAACCTGCACGGTGTAGGTTTCGGAAATAAAAGTGCCAATCTGCGAACAGAGAAGGCAAGCCTATTATCCCGGTGTGATTATAATGCAGACAGATAGACGACAGGTAGGCAGAGTGGATAAGAGCGTTAGCTTGTGATGAGCTGACAACAGAGACAATCTCCCTCCTAAACTGGAGAGATAAGGTTGTCAGCTGCAGCTCTGACACACACACACATATTATGTTGCCAGTCAGATAGATGGTATAACAACTACAAAAACACACTTTCCAGATTTCTGTCTGTTTGTGTCTGTGTGCACAGGATGCGTTTCTTCATGCATGTGCACGTTACACTGTGAAAGGATTAGTATGTATATGTCAGAGACAGAGGGAGAGGCAACCACACAAAGATAAACGAGGAAGTGTGAATACATTAAGTACACTGTGTAGATATTGTTTGTGGACCTTTCAGCTCAAGGAAATCCTTGTTTCAACATTCGGTCGTGGCTGGAATGTAGCCTGTGAGGCTCTTTTTAAGTGTTTGGGTCTAAATGCCATGTCGACTACACCCCATGAAACTGTCTTAATCCACTCTTTTTCCCCCTGGTTTTATTACTGCTGGAGAACACACTAGGGGTAAAGCAGAGCCCCAGCCTCAGGCCTCTATTCCCATTCCACACACCCCATAAGTCAGTCACAGATAATTAAATAGGAGTTATTTACACTCGTTTTCCCTCCTCTGCCTGTCTGGCGCTTTTATCATTTCTCTCTCCTTCTCTTTGTACAGTGCTGCACGCAGCCAGGCCTTGTCAAAGTCTGGCTGACACCAGTGAAGGCCTGTAGAAGTATAATAAGATGAAAAAAGACTCTTATGAGCTCACATCAATGTCAGCCCCTCATTAAACAATCACACAGAGCATCTACGCAACGCTAATCCTCGTGTGTGCCACAAAACACCTCAGCACTCCCAAACAGAGCCGAAGACAAACGAGCATATGAGGATTCGCTTGAGCCAGGGTTTGAAGAATTCAGCTGCCTAATGTCAGCGTTATATATTGACTCTGGAGCTTTTCAACACAGGGATGAATTAGCCCCCGCCACAGAGCTTTGGCTTCCATTACAGGCCTCAACGGCTCCATAAATCACAGGATCACAGGGGCATGTGGGGTCCACCTCGGCCCCTATCAGCCCCATCCTGGGGGTTTTGTTTGGCTGCTACTCCAGCCAAACCCACTGCTTTGATACAGCCATGGAAATGTCCCGAGGGCCAGCGGGACCTGGCCATGCTGAGAAGCCTCTTTAACGGGGAAAGCTGTCCTCTTAAAATATCCACAACAGGAAACAGCCATCAGTCATCGACACGCCAAAACAGCTGTTACCAGCCTACATCAAGGGCGCACATGAAAGGAGCTGCTCCCTGTTGTTTGAGCCCTCCCTTGTTTCATTCTCTCGCTGCCTTTGTCTGGCTTTTCCCAATGCCCTCCTCTTTGGTCTGCTTTTAAACACCCCCCCCACTCTTCCTTATGCAACTCCACCCACGCTGACTTACCCACTCACCCTTTTAACAAGTGGATGACTGTGTGATAAACAAGAGCGCCATCGGAAATGTCAAAATTTAACTAGCGTTGTAAAGAAATGTTTGAAATCCTGTTTAAGCTCTCGGTGTTACCTTTAAATCTCACAGTTGTTACGCGTCACCTGTTTATATGTCTCGGCCCGAGGTGCTGACAGACATTTTTAAACAAACAGGCGGATTCAAAAGAAGATTGTAGCGCACTTAGCTCGCCTCGTCCACGTTCCCATATTCCTAGATCTCCGCAGGTCATTGAAGCGTGAGTGGCAGAGCGCGGGTGATGAGTGACGGCTAAGCCTAATGATGACAGGTCAAACAGTGACGCTGTTGAAAGATGCCAACGTGACTTCATCCTCCTCTCAGCTGCAGCCATTATAACCAAGAAGCAAGCGGATGGAAGTACAGTCTGATAAGGCTTGCTTGTGTTGGGAGATGTCAAACGAGTTTACCTATTAAAGCTCAGAAGAAAGGCTTGTTCTAGTTTTCTATAGCCAATAATCAATTATCCATGACATACTTTGAAAACACTGCACAATGGTGTAATATTTTTGATTTTGGATCACGCCATCTGATGATCTGAAGCAGGGTGGAAATCCCCCTAAAGCAAAGCTAGTTGGTCTTCATGGAACATTTAATGAAGTTATTTGGCTTCCCAAACCAACAATAAAGTGGTTAACATACCAGAAATAATCAAAGACAGTAGGGTTATTTTGGAATATAAGAAAAGATGTTGGGATATTTAGCTTCAACATGGCTTCTTTCAGACTGGTTACAAGAAAACATCAAAAATAAATGTTCAGGTGTTTACAATACTAACTTGTCTATCTGCGTCAGTAGATTTCATCTTAATTCACATTTCATAAAACTTGTAATTGTTGAGATATAAATTATAGCCTGATTTTATATAACTTTGTATTCCTGAAAACATGGCAACAATTTTTTTTTAATAACATAAGATTTTTAATTCACTTTTGAAAAAGATAATTGCCTCAATGTTAATATTCAAATGGAGACGTTCGATGGAGATATCTGATAACATTTTTAACCTATTCAGCTGTTTCTTCACCTATTTACAAATCAATTGGGAATACAGTTCTCCATGGTTCACCCATACTTGGCATATTAGTCTTTTACACATAGTGTATAATCTCAAATGTTGGATACAGTATTTTGCATGGTGCTCATGGAGGTCAGTGACACAGATTTCCATGCTTACACACAACCCCGGTATGAGGGTGAGGCCAGGAATACAAACCTCGCCCCCTCCCCCTTTTCCCGCCCCTGCTTATAGATGCGGGAACTTGTGATTGGACGGCAGCTCTTTGCTCTTAAAGCCCTCCCCTCCCGTCGTTAGTATGTGGAGGAAGTGAGGCACTGCTGCAGAGGGACACAGAAACACACGCCGAAGGACTGTCACACACCAACCTCTGCGGGATATTCCTTCACTTGCACTCCGTAATATTCTTCACGAGCAGCGACTTCATATGGTGTTTTTTTCCTCTCTTTACCAACACTGGATTTATTTAGGAGTATTTAGACATTGAAGAGCCCGATAGAGGATGACATTTGGGCAATTTATTGTTCTTTAGAGACAGCTTTGGGTCTGACACGGAGGACGCGCACTGCTGCGTATATGCCCTTCCGGATTACCGCACTCTCTTCTGTTTAATTTATCATCATGAAAGGTGCTGGTGATTGATTTTTTTACCCTGCGTCCACTCGTTATATGCCAACGTTCCTCTCCGAGCCCCGATCCAGATGAGAGATCCCCCCGGTGGATCTGAACCGCTTTTACGCAGACAGTCCCCGGAGCTCAGCAGGGATCATCACCGGACAGGAGCGTGCGTTTTACCTGCTTCTTGTCCTCCTACGGATCCCTTTCGTCAAGCTAAAAGGCTTCCCATCCGGATCGTAAAGATGTTGACGGCGCACAGCGGCCACTTGCTGCACCCGGAGTATCTCCAGCCACTCACATCCGCACCAGTCAGTATTGAAGTAAGTTTAAAAGAACAAATTAGATGCTCTTACAGATCTTTTATTATATTCTGATGTCATTTTTCCTTCTAATAATGATCTGATAATATTTAATGCACGGCGTCGCTTGTTACGAGTCTTATTCTGACAAATATGCCAGCATATGCGCCATTTTACGCACAGCGATCCGTTGGCAAGTTCACCAGGCACCAGACTTCAGTAATGTAGAATTATTACATGTACACGATTATTATTTAAAAGTAATATAACTGGTTTATATTTTATTAATAATTTATAATTACGCGTTTCACTTTCCAAATAGTAATGGAATTCATTTATTTTTCTCTATCTTTCTTGAACTTTGACTAAGGCTACTTCTTGTGACTTTGTCTATTCATCCAATATATTAATACAAGATTTAAAGCTGATGAGGACTATGCTGGGGTCTCTATATTTGTTTTTATTTAGCACATGGGAAGTGTATAAAAGAGAGGGATTCATAAAACAAAGATGAATAATATAGTTATATCACCAGTGGTGGGAAATATACTTTAACACCGGAAGAAACTATATTTACTTTAATTTCTGAATACAATTATAATCAACTGGATATGTCTTATGATACTTAAAATCAAAGCAAACAGTTTGTTCACCCTCTTGCTTTCTTTTTTTCCTCCTCAGTTGGATGCCAAGAAGAGTCCTTTGGCTCTGCTGGCCCAGACCTGCTCTCAAATTGGCAAACCAGACCCCCCCTCCTCTTCCAAGCTGGCCTCCCTTTCCTCAGGCAGTCTGGGAGACAAGGAATCCTCGAGTAGATCTTCAAAGTCTGGAGATCATCACCAGGATGACAAGTCCAGCTTCAAGCCTTACGCCAAGTCATCCGGCGACTGTCGGAAAGACGCCCTGACAAAGGGGTCTTCGGATAAAGCCGCTTTTAGGGTGCCGAGTGGCAGCTCCAGCAGTGGCGCTGCTTCATGTTCGTCTTTTCCTCCCCATTCCCGGTCCCCCAGCTCCAGCCCTCCTCCCCTGCACAAACAGAGCCATTCCCCGTCCACACAGTCACACTCCCAGGCCCCGCACACGGACAACAAATCGGGGAGCTCAGAGCAGACAAACTCGGACAGTAATGGCAGCAAAAAAGACTCAGATGCAGCTAAGTCGGGGATGGATGGGGCACAGTTAGCCAACTCCAGCCACGTACGGGCCAGCGCCAACTCCAGCAACGCCAGCTCTGCCAGCAGCCCGCGGCCGGAGAGCAAGGCGGACCCCCAGGCCTCCTCGCAGTCGGGCCTGAGCTCCGGCCACATCGCCCCCGTCTCCCCTTTCAAACCCGGACATTCTGTCTATCCTTTGCCCCCTGCCTCCATGGGCTACCACGGCTCCATCGTGGGGGCCTACGCTGGCTACCCCTCCCAATTTGTGCCTGGTATGGATCACACAAAGTCTGGTTTGGGGTTTCCGGGAAAGCACCCCAGCTCCAGCCCTCTCACTGGAGCGTCCCCTCCGTCCCTGATGCAGGGTCTATGTCGGGACCCGTACTGTCTGACTTACTCCAACGCGCCCCACCTCGGAGGAAGCAACTGCTCCCCCTGCGTCCACGACCCGTCCAGCCTTAAGGCCGGTTTCCCCCTGGTTTACCCCTCCCACCACCTCCACTCCCTGCACCCCAGCTCCTTGTCTGCCAGCACGGCCGCCTCCATGTCCCATCCCCTCTACACCTACGGCTTTATGATGCCCAACGAGCCCCAGCCTCATGCCTGCAACTGGGTGTCCGTCGGGGGTCCATGTGATAAGAGATTCTCCACGTCAGAGGAGCTCCTCGCCCACCTGCGCACCCACACCTCCCTGCACGGGATGGTGGACAGTAAGCTGTTGTCGGGATACCCTTCATCGATGTCGACGGCCTCTTGCCACCTCCACCTGCCCCATCAGGGCAACCCGGGGTCCATTCCCGGCTCCTTCTCCCTCAGAGGCTCCCCTGGTTTAAGCCTGGCTCGCTACCACCCGTACAGCAAATCCCACATGCCCGGAGCACCAGGACTTCCTATGCCGTCCATCCCCTCCTCGGCGTATTACTCCCCCTACGCCCTCTACAGCCAGAGACTGGCCTCAGCCTCCGCCCTGGGATACCAGTGATATCAGAAATAGTGTTGACACCCACAGACTGCAGGCACCAGCTTGGAGATGGATGCCCGAGGTGTCAGCACCAGCACCTGCCAGGAACACCACCTGTTTTAGCCTCAGGATTGTCCATCCGAAGGCAAAAGGCCCTTTGACGGATTGTCTGCAGAACTCAACAGACTTTCGTGATTAACATGGCGGGACACAGAGCTTGAAAATGATGGAAAAATGGGATTATTACAAGAGTCTTGATTTTGTTTTTTGTTTTTTCTATATCTTGTCTCCCAGAACTGAAAGTCTGTATTTATTTTTCACTCAAAGCGCTTGGTATTCAACTCTAAGGGGGAAATGTTGCTGTCCAAATAAATTGTTCTGACATATTCTAACTGAAAAAGATTTAAGTATAGTATCCTTATGCCTATCATACACTCTAAAAATAAAAACCTTGCACCATGATGAAGATGGACTGTGAAGCTTTATTCTGGGGACTTCTTTTTATCTCCTCTCCTCTCTGCTGTTGTTTTTTTTTCCTGCATCTCATTCAGACTCTGGAGAATTGCATGTCCGTGAGAATTATCTTGAACAATGCCATTATTTTTATTTGTATATATGCAAAGATGTAATATTTTTTCAAGCTTACTTGGGGTCACTGATGCAAATGGTACAAAAATAAGACAAAATGACATAAATAAAACAATTAATGATGGCTGTGCTATCAAAGCAACAGAATAAAGGTCTTATTTTGTTAAATAAATGATCAATGATTGCATTTATCTTGTTTTTTCCTCATTCTTCGCTATATATAGTAGCTTTTGTCATGACGATGGAGTAAATCTTGCTGCACTGCACTTATCTAGGTCTATCTATCATTACGGCAGTTACTGCCACGCTATATGTGGCTATGTGTAATAACTCATGGCTCATAACAGTTGACAGGGCTGTCCCAAGGAGGGCAGCCCGGGTCACATGAACCCTGTTAGCTCGTCTCTGAGGACTTCCAACCCTCCTCCGCTCTCCATCACCCACATTGCTTTTGTTGTTGCGAGTGCAGCTTTTAATTGCTGATTCTTGTTTGTGGGGCCTGGAAACAGCCTCCTCAGCAGAGTGCAGTGGCCACTGGGTCACTGGGACTTCAATAATGACCTGAGGGAGGTGTCCACCCAGGACCTCCTCGTGCTCTGACGGATTGGTCTGCAACACAAAGGCCAGAGCTGACAATGGGGAGGCGGGTTAATAGAGAAATATTCATCAAAGTCACTGACATCTCCCCTGAGGAGAGCAGGCTCTCTTTACCGAAAACCACAAACAGGGCGTCCTCATGCGAAGAGCCATTTTCTTCCTTGCCCTGATTTTTAGTGCAGTCAGCATCTCGGGCAGTTAGATACTAATCCAAGGGGAAGGAGTCGGTCTATCTTAAAGCCACAGCACTGCCATTAGAGTGCCTCGGCCTCGATAATGTGTCCGTGTCTCCACTCTATTTGGCTGTCAGGTTGTAGGTGGCGCAGAGTGAAGAGGCTGCAGTCTCCAAGGCGGCTATTGACCCCGACTCCCAGACTCCTCTACTCTCGCGCTTCATTAGCACTCCAGACAGGGAAAGGCGAGCACAGGTGTCACTTGACAGCACCATTAACCAAATGGATGACCCTCCAAAACCACATCCAGCCCCTGACACACAGGCAAGGTCACGGTGCCCTGATCACCGCTGTGGGGATCTCTGTGGGACCATGCACTTATTTTTCTTCTTTAGAAAGTGGAGCCATGCACTTCTCTGAATTGGACTGACTTACATTGCTGTTGCAGAGCTTATAAAGTAACCTAGAGAAAATAGGTCAAGGATATCTGGTTTTATTGCTGTTTTTCATTTTAGTGCAACATACTTATTTGTAACTTGCAGCAAAGAGAGATGCACTGGATTGCGTTGCCCCCTATAGTTTTGTTGGTGAAGCACAGATGAAATCAGTGCAAGAAGGCAAGGTGCTCTCTGAGAAAGAATACACATTTGTAGTGCTTTTAAGATGTCTAAATGTGTATTTTGGTTTGCTGTTTTGATAAACTGTAGATAGAGAGTTGGTTACATTGGCTTGTGTGTGAGGATGATTCACAGTGGAGGTCACGCAGAGGGGAAAACTTTCAATCTTGTCGGGGAGGTGGAATTAATTCCTCTGTTGCCAGTTTACACTCGTTCATCAAATGCCTCACTATTCTCCCTTTCCCCACGCTCATCAATCTCCTCCATCCATCTTCCCCCACACACACTCAAACACACACACTGGCAGCTGAGTCAACACCCACACACTCCATTTATGTCGCCTGTGTGAGGCTGTGTGTGTAAGTATGTGTATTCAGTTATCCTTTGTCCAGAGACTGAATTCTGAGTCTGTAATTCCTGTCTCGAGTTCTGTAACCCTGGGTTTTTTTCTCCAAAAATGCAAATGCGTTCATATTTAACATTTACCTCCAGTAATTTTTTTCAAGTCTAAACAAGCAGCAACACATTTTTAGAGAGCATAACTGCAATTTTTGAAATTAATATTAACATCTCAAAATATTTCTTAACAACTGCTTGACTCAAAAGATATAGTGAAAAAATACACTGCAAATATACTAAATAACCACAGAGGGATTATGTTATATTATATTCTAATGCAGTACTTTTTTATTCAAATAAATTCCTATATCTACGAACACAGCAAGAAAATTGCATTTCACTTGGAAAAGTTTTCAATGTTTTTTTACGATAAAGCTCACAAAATGTTCACCCCTTAAACATTTTAAAGGAAAAAGTTTTGAAAGTTTTTGAAAATAATCACACCAGTAATGGATATGAATGTAAAGGTCTATAGGTCACATTTCTTTAACTCCTTTAGTTTACGAAAATCATCTTGATTCAATGTAACAGATCATTTAGAACATATTAAATTCCCTATTACTGTCTTGTGCTTTTTCACTAAGCGCTAGATTAGAAGATTGATACCAAAAATCTTTCAGCTTAGTTTAGCATTAAGACTCAAAATAAAAGGGGAAAACAGCTCGCCTGGCTCCGTTTAAAGATGTCTAAATCTCACCTAACGTGTTATATCGTGCTTGTTAAAGTTACAATTCTTTTTAAGAACATAGCTTCATCAAGAATGTGAATTCACATATCTCCCAAAATGACGAATTATTCCTTTAGTGTAGCAGTAATGTTGATTAATATAGTTTTGGGTAATGTAATAAAAATACCAATTTAGAATCCATAATTCTAAACATTATGTTTCATGTATTAAGAGACAAACGTGTTTTCGCCGTTCATTAGCTAACATTCCCCTCGCTTGCACAAACTGGGTTGTTTAAAAATGTGGGAGACAAATGCCAGAAAAGCTGCTGCGCATGAGGTGAGTAAATATTATGCTGAATAAATCATATTTGGATTCAAAGTTGCATGCAATGACAGGTGAGCTTAAGCAGAGTATTTAATTTGGTCATTACATTCGACAAATATTTACAGCCAAGTTTATTTTACTTTTTGCCAACAATCAGAAGTGGGCCTTAAGTTACGAAAAGGTTGCTCTCCCCTGGTGTAAAAAGTCAGTTAGAGTTATGGTGGAGGCAATCATAAAAACAGCAAAGGTACGAGAATGATAGCAGTAATCAAAGAAGTGGTATCAGTGGAGCTAGTGATGGTGATGTTGATGGAGGGGACTAATATTTCCCCTCAGAGCAGAGCAGAGTGCCACTGTGAGGTCCTGAGCAGCCGGCTGACAGGCCCCGTGATTAATGACGACAGGGTGTGGAGCTGCTCTTCAATTAGACGCCAGCTCTAACCCGGCTCACCATCCCGCTGACAGCCACGACACATAGAGAGAGAGAGGGGGTACTCAGTCTCTCTCTCTCTCTCTCTCTGTGTCTCCAGAACAAAACATTAACCTCAACTCCATGACTACCACCTCTGTGTTTAACATCGGGACACAATGCAGAGCCCTCGGCGTCCAACAGTGACCGCAGTGTTAAAGCAACCCAGATGGCGTGAACACATCCTTCATCAGGGCCTGTCACACAATCTCTGCTTTATTTCTCCACATAAACCCTAAGACTGAGTGTTTTACATGCCTGCTCCGGCTCCTCTGCTCATTCACGTCGGCAGGCAGCCATGCTGTAACGCTCGCTGGGAAAACAATATGCACAAAAACAGCAGAAAGTTGCATTTCACTTGAAAACGTTTCCTTCTGAGTAGTGATGACGGGTTTTTGGAGACCAACGTGAAATCTCCCTTGGGCTCCCTCAACGAAAACATTTCCATTTGAGTTCTGAGTAGGCCTATTGATGAAAACAAGATGCGTGACTAACACACATTTACTACTTACACTTTTTGTTTATCAGGATTTACTCAACATCTTAACATCACTTTTATAACAGTTATAGCGTAAATGCGTAGTCAGAAGTAAAAAAGCATTTACAACATTAGGCTATAAACAAACGACATCATGGTCGCATAACTACACGTCACTCCCGCTAAGCTAAATGTGGCTAATGTTTTCTGTGATAACATTTAGTAGTCTCTTATAGTCACTTGTTAGCAATCGCCGATTGTTGGACAAATCAAAGCTTCAGTAGTTCACCAGTGTGGTATTTACTGACCTGTATTTAAAAATATTTAAAGCTTGTTTTGTGCTTGTGTGGATTTGTTCAGGCCTAACTAGAAATCAATACATTTATTAAAAGACGCGAATGACCGTAAGTGCTAAAATGCTGACTCATAAGGGGTCTAGGACTCCTCCTGATTCTATAAAGGGAGAAAAGTAAATGAAAAGATTACCTTATAATCATTTCAAGCAGCGGTGAACATTTTGGGAAATAATTATGTTTTATAAACAGATTGTTAGCTTAGCTTAGAAAAAGGCAGAAACAGCTACTAGCACATTATTAAACATAGCCACATAAAAAAAGCCACATAACCATGACTATGAAATATAATCCTTGGTATAGTTCAGTATCAATCAGGCAGCAACACATTCTGTCATTATTAAAGCAATCATTTCACTACAACACTTACTAATCAGTACTTCCTGGTTAAGTTTAGCTGCCACACACACACGGCTTCTCTGCCTGTGGTTTCTAATGATAGGAACCGCCATGACCTGATCTAAAAATCTGCAATGCCGTTGTCGGTAAACATGAACATTGCCAGCACTTTGAGGCAGTAAACCCCGCCTGTAATTATTGGACAGGCAATAAATTATGGTGCTGAGGTTTACAATAACATTTTTAAATGCCTTAAAATTAGGCCTTTCAACCTTTAACCTTCAGGTTTTAAGGGGCTTAGTGTCCTTCAGTTGTATGTTTTGTGTGTGTGTGTGTGTGTGTGTGTGTGTGTGTGTGTGTGTGTGTGTGCAGTGGTAAACGAGATTGGGCTTCAATAAATTCATTATATTTCCTTAAAAAAAGATTTTCCCTCGCCACATTTACCAGCCCCCTCAGTTGTTTCCTCCTGGCGCCCGGACTGTTGCAACACCAGTCTCCGTGTGAGATAATTTTACCTGGAACCAGTTTATAACAACAGCTCTTGACACATCATTGGCACTGTTCCTTAAATACATATTCAGTATTTATTTAGTGATGTGAATCAGTAAAAGTTGTTATACTGACATCCAATTGTAACATTTAAAACACCAATGTAACAACGTATAAAAAATACTGTATGTATTTGTTAGTAATAAAAACTGCTTATCATAATAATATATTATAATTCAACAGTTACAAAAAAGCCATTCTGCATAA